ATAAGTTTTCTGTGTATGCTGTAAGACCTACCTGCCTGATCCCTTGCAGTCCTAACTACATTTGTGTTAGAGGAACACACACATACAATCTCAGCAGAGCTGTTGATCAATAAAATTGTACTCCTTAGAGGATGCCTGTGACATCTATAAACCTGTGAGTGTCAAAACAATGGCACAAAAAATTCTGTATTCCTACTGTCAGTGGGATGAAAGCTGTGCAATTAATGCCAGCCCAATGACACCACAAGGAGAAATAAAACAAACAGCTGGTGGTACTATGTTAGTCCAGCACACTGCTCCTGCAATCTAGTAACATCTTCCGTATAAAATACTGAATTGTGTTATGAGCAATATAGCATAAATCTATAGAAAGAATTCAAAAATCTACAGTCCACAATATTAATTGTATTAGATTTCACTTAAAAAGCGTAATAAAAATGCACTGATCCTCTTTTATATGGAAATTAAGCATGCGCAAGTAGAGGACATCCTTACGTTTAGTGGCTGTTGATTACTGCACCATTATACATTCTTTCTAGAGCCCAGTGAACTTATTCACATCTAACTCAACTAGTAGCAAGCACTCCCTTTTTGCTTAACTTGGCTTTTTTGGAGATGTCTGTAAGTTTTTATTGCCCCAAATGTCCCGTCACTGCAAGCACTGGTTCAGTTCTACTGGCAGTAACAACAATGGGAGTGACAGGGTTCCAGGCAGTTGCTGGCATTTTAAGCATCATGATGTCCTACTCAGAGCAGGTCTACATGCTTAAAATGTCAGCAGCTGGAAGTGCCTTTTCTTGACTCAAGCTCCGATCATTGCCACCACTAGTGGAGCTTAAACAGCATTAGCAACTGTGGAAAATATGGGGCAAAAAAGTGTAGTGTGCACAGGACCTTTGGAGAAGAGTGGAATTTGTCTGCATATTGAAGAATGTCGACACTTATCTTAATAGCACCACAATGAACATGTAAGAAACTCAGCAGTTAAAAACGTGTGTGCTTCAGCAAGAGAGAATATGGTTTCTGTGAGGGATGGGAGTACATTACAGAAGGTTTAGAAATACTCTGGTGCTTCTCAAAAACTCCTAAACTGAAGAATTATTCACCAGTAAACAGAATCTGCTTTGAAGGCCTTGTCTGCACATAACCTCTTTCTCTAAAATTTCCCACCATTTCTACCACCAATCACCTCCACTACTGGTGACAACAATGGAAGCACTAATGTACACAATGTACCAGCAGCTATCATTTCAGTAGGTCTGCTCTGACCATGGTTAAAAAACATGCTTTTAAAAATGCTAGTGGCAGACTGTAACCTTGTCTACGCTAGCGACCCCATTGCTTCCACCAGCAGTGGAGTTCCACCAGTGGTAGTTATGGTGGCAAATCTGAGTAAAAATAAAAACCTAGCATAGACACTCCTTTCTTTGATAATGCAAGGACAGTATGTCTAGTGGTTAGCAGTCAGAACTCCTGGGTTTCATTCTGGGCTTTGCTGTGTTTTGTAATTATTTTTATTTCAGTGGGTTTGGCCTCTGAGAACAAGCAAGCAGTTCCATCTAGCACTTTATAGCCATCAGGTGTCTTACCTCCCAGTCTTCTGGTCTAGCCATTAAATCATACTCCCTGCCTTCTAAGTGAGAATTGTGTCACTATTATTAGGGGGCATGATAAGCATGCTGATTTTACTCAACTAGAGAAATATTAAAACGTTCATATCCAATTGTGAGGGCAACAATCGTACAATAAACTGAATCATTCCTTGCCATAGAATTGCCACAGATCTTTGACAGTCTCATAGCACTACCTCGATGTAAAATTTTGGTTGTTTCTATTGCCCCATTCTGCTCGGTTTCAATTATACCCACAACTGACAATATTGGTTTCACTTGAGTTCAGCAGTTGCTAAACCACATATCACATAATTGTACAAGACTGTGTACTGTATAGTTGTGTTTTTAAACACATTCTACAGTTACACAGAAAGGCTTAATTCCAGAGTGTATTTAGTACATTTATGCAAATACAGTAAATACCACCAGATATTTGGCCTGAAGGGATAAACATCTATCACCATTTAAAAAAAAAAAAGGCAGATCATCTTAAAAAAAGCTCTAAGAGAAACTAGGCAGACCCAAATAATTCAAGCATAATGATTTGCAATGCATAAGTTTAATTCTACTTTGCAAATTCAAAATGAACAGATAAATTATGGATTAAGGCATACAGTATTTTGTACAGGAAAACTGACAACCACTTCCCAGACATTTAGGTTTTTTTCCCAATCTCTTTACTAATTTCTTTCTAACAATTCAAAATGATTGTTTCAAATCTCCCAGTGGTTGAGAGATGGAGAGTGTGCCAGGACATTCTAAAATGCAAAGAAAATAGGCCATTTAAAAAAGGAGGGGGAGGGGAAGTCTTATACATAATGAACTCAAAAGCTATTCCATAGTTTTTTCTGTCCTGGACTCATACCACTATACCATGAGGATTCAAAGGGGAAATAACAGCTAGATTTAGGGAAGGAGCATTAGCTTGAACTAATAAAGTTGTGCCTTTCATCATAGATGATGTAATTTAGATATCTGGGGCCTGATTCATCATTATACTACTCCAGTTTTATGCAGCTGTAACCCCATTGATTTCAAGGGAGGTACACTGGCATAAATCTGGATGAATGTAATGGTGAATCAGGTACTTGGTCTATGAATTTCCTTTTGTAAAGTTATGGTATATATTTGTTTGGGGTTTTTGAATACATGGTAACTTGGAAAAAAATCTTATTGAAATGTTACAAAGCATACCCTGATTTTTTGGATGACTCCAGTCTCCTTAGTAAATACATATTTAGCTAAATATATATTAAGGTATTTTAAAATAACTTTATTTGTAAAATATGTAGCAATAATTTAATAGATTCACAGATTCCAAGGGAAGAAGCAACCATTTTGCATCTAGTCTAACCTCATATAACAGGCCATAGAACTTCTCCAAAATAATTCCACTTGAACACCTTTTAGAAAAACATCCGATTTTGATTTAAAAATTGCCAATCATGGAGAATTCACAAGGACCCTTGATAAATTGTTCCAGTGGTTAATTATCCTCACTGTTAAAAATGTACGCCTTCTTTCCAGTCTGAATTTGTCTAGCTTCAACTTCCAGTCATTGGACTGTGTTATATCTTTATCCACTAGATTGAAAAGCGCTTTATTAAATATTTTTCCCCATATAGGAATTTACAGACTGTGATTTGTTTATTCCTTTGATGCCTTCTCTTTAGATTTGAATGAAATTACTTAAGGAGTAAGACACAACATAACGCAAATAATGGTACCACCGTTTGGCCTTTTGTGAACTGCAAATACGTAACCATAGTGTATTAATGCCGTTTTTTGCATTTGGTTTCCTTTTTGTTTTTGTTTTTTAATTTCCACCTTGTCATTTAAATGGTTGCATGTAAACTTTTAAGTTCAGATTTAACGGTGGTAATGGGTTGAGCAATGGGACAGCGCACACTTCAGCTGTTGCTCGGCTGGACAGCATTTTCTGCTACTGGACAGTACCACACCACTTATGTGGTCATAGCTATGTACTTGCAACAAAAATAGATAGAAGAGTTACACTACTTGTGCCACAAAATCTACAATCTTAAAGCACAAGGTAGTGGCCCAAGTATGTGGTGGCCCATGGTTTGGTCTCACCTGTGATGATGGGACCATGACATGTTACAATCTTATTCCAGCCCCGGATGTTTAAATGTGGTTGGTTTTGTAAAATAAACAAGGCCTCTATTTTTCCTCTTAAAACAAAAGCCTAGAATTTGCAGAACATTGCAAAATGCAGTACAAATCATGGAAACACTACAGATTCATGGGCTACATGACATTTTTGGCACCTGCAATTATCTGTTAAGGCTGTTTTAGGAGAGGATTTTTCAGTATTTCAATAGGACATTATCTCAACATTAGCTACTGTCTTGCTTTATGCAATGAACAAGCCAGGCAGTGATGTCAAAAAGGGACAAGGTTTTATTAAATGGCAAACCTCACAACATCCCTGTCATGGCAGGAATTGCCATCTGCAGGTGGGTAAACTGAGGCACAGTTCAGCTGATACACCACAGACTGCGTGAACCTAATGTAGACTGTGGTCTGTACAGTGCTTTTAGAAAAGTGCACCATATACTGCATAGTCTGTGTTATGGCATAATTCAAAAAGAGGCTTTATACCCAACAGACTGTTATGGCTCTAACAATCTTAATAATGGACTGATTATTGACTCAATAACCATAACAGCTTCTGCAGATCTAAAGGAAATACACAAGAGGGGGAAGGGCTTTCCTTTAGTCCAGATTCAAACCACTCAGTTTGCCCAGTATTAATCTACTTCAGAAGTTCCAGTTTAGGACACCCTCCTTACATTTATGCAAAGCCCACAGGAAAGAATTTCTTGCACCCATGGGCATATTCGAGCCTATTCATTTGCCCATTTCTGCAACCTAATAATTAACTTATTAATGATTACTGGGAAGAGTATATGTTCAAATACAGCATTTCTTAGCATGGAGGGGGAAAAAAAGATATGATGAGAAACAGAGGAGATTGAAATGAAATGATAAACATTAGGGCTCTTTCTCCCCACCTACAAGGGAAGTTAAAACTCTAAACCAATATATTGATTTTTACGTATTTTCTGTTTATCTGTTTTGTCCACTGTAACTGCCAGTTGCCCCAGGCAATCAACAAAGCTATGCTTGTTCAGCCTTTGATCATCTCACTGCTATACGATTAGCATATGCATACTCTCATCCTCCCCTTCATCCTGCTAGTAAAGCTCCAAACTCCCTCCACGGATGTTCAAGAAAGCAATCCGCTCCTCAGTCCCTGTTGATTTGCTCCCATTCCCTCCTCTCTGCTCAGGACTTGGAATGCTAACTACTGTGTGTGAGTCCTGTAAGTGCTTATCCACTGGCCCTCCAAGGAGCAATTCTTACTTGTTTGATGCAGTCCACATTTGACAGACGCTCCTGGATCAGATTGGCCCACAGTGCATTGGGAATTTTCTAAAGAAAGAACAAAACAAAAACTAAAACAAAAAAAGAAAGGCTGAATATTCACAATGGAGTTCAAAAGGAATTTTATCACTCAGGCACTCTGGCTAGTGGTGGACTCAAATGCCTTCTTAAAATACATCAATTAATCAAACTGAGACCCCCAAATCATTAGCACAACATATATGTTGAGTTAAAAAGAACACAGAAATTCATTTTAAAAATAAACGAAATGACTTTTTACTTGCTAAGGTCTGAGTTCATGGTTCTGCTTTTCACCTACCAGGCTTAAACATGTCATGAACATGTAAACAGCCCCGAGATCCACACTCCTACTATTGTGTTAGGCCACAATCCTGCAAGTGAAAAAAAATCTTATGATCATAAGAAGTCCCACTGACTTCAGAAGAATTCTGGTCTACGTGCTGTTTTACAGGACAAGGTCTGTGGCATTAGTGATGTTATCAGCTGTAACATGGGACATGAAGAACCCTGAACTCAGCACTGGCAATCAGGGAGAACATGATTTTCAAATACTGTATTTTATAATCTTATATCTCTGTATTTTTTACATATATACACTGCTAATTTCCTGTGTTCTTAAAACAGTCCTTCATATTTTTTCCCAAAAGCATTTCTCCTTTTAAATTAGGGGAAACAATTTACAAATATATCAGAGGAAAACAAATACAAATACTGTAGGTTCACTAATAAGAGAAGTGGGAGACAGGAAATTCACAATGATTCTAAAAAGCTACTTAACGTTTTTTTAATAACAAGGAAAAAAGATTAAAAGTGTACAGACAGTAAGAAAAAATGAAGAATGCATTAACAAAAACGATCTATACTAATTCAACAGGTCTGGATGGTCTGCAACACGGGTTACTAAATGAATTATTTGCTAAAAAGTGTACTGAGCTACTGACATTGTTATGAAGCCAAGGAAAACTGGAGAAACACCTGAATACTGGGGGAGAGGAGGAGAGACACAAATAGGACACTAACTTTTCAAAAAAAGAGGAAAGGACAATCCTGGTAATTACTCACTGAAAGAACCTAACTTAAATCACTGTTCAAATAACCAAACAACTCTCCAAGAGGAAAATAATCCATAAACACCTACAGGATGATGGAACTACAAGCAATAACTAGCATGGGTTTATAAAAATCAAATCATGCCACACAAACATGGTCGCTTTCTTCAATTAAATGTTAAAACTTAGAGGGAAAACATAATGCAGGATCCTTGACTCAAAGAAATTGGATATAGAAAAAAAAATCTATTAAGCCACCTAGTGCATCCTCTGGTAAGCCAAGACTGTTCCCTACCATATTTTGTTTAGAGCTTAACTCAGTGTAATTTTTAATGTTCTGAGCGATATGGCTTCCACAACTTCCCTTAGGAAAATATTCAACGGTCTTGTAGCTCTTGCTGTCAGGAAAGTTTTCTTGATAATCAATTTGAATTTCCCTTTCTTTATTTTATCACAATACTCCTAATTAATAACTCTTTGTATCTCCCTAAATAATTTGTGGTGTGTACGCCACATATCGGCAGACAATTATCATGTCCCACCCCACAAAGCTGTAGTTGTTAGTCAGACAAATTAAACATTAACAAAAGCTTTTCATCTTTCTTCATAATTAAACCCCTTCAGCCCCCATTCCTTTCAGTTACTCTTTTCTGTATTCTATCCAACTTGTCAATATCTTTACTTTCTGGCAATATTTCATAAGCAAATATCTTCCATGTCAGATAGCAGAAGAGATTATATTATTCTAGATGTTTAGTGATTTTTTTCCCCTAATATTTGTTCCATTGTTTTACTAGGTTCACTTGGCAGCTATTGTCAGAAACACCCTTCTTTCTTTTTCTGAAGGCTGTATCACAGCTGTATTTCTCCATTATTTTAGTACCTCCCATTTCTCCATGGCTTTTCAAAAATAATGAATAATGGTTTGGTAAATTCATTAGCTAATTACTCTAATACCATAAAGGAGTATCATTCTATCAATGTTAAGATAACTATTAATTATTAAATTACTAGGGCAGTTGGCTCTTTTTCTTTTTACTTAAAAGTCTTAGCTGACTGAGTATCCTCATAAAGGCAATGTACATTGGATACTTCTTTTTCTTTGGAACTTAGCATATTAAGCCTTATTTAGGTCATCCAGACTGGTGGATCTTAAAATCCCTTTCTACCACTTCTTATTCGCTAGGGGCCTGATCCTAAAATGAGCTTTGCATAGGCGGACCCCCAAGGGCCCACACAGAGTTCATTGCAGGATAAGTACCTTAATTTTGCAGTTTTCCAGAATGTACCTTGCAGAAGTCTGAAACCCTCTACTGCTCAGCAAAACCATTAATTACTCTGCTAAATTGAAGCAGCTCATGGTCCATGGTACCAAGCTCCCCTATTAATTTTCACAATCTCATTGAGTTCCCCATTATTGTTAAGAACTAGATCCAGGATTACTTCTCTAGTTGGATATTCTACTTTCTGACTCAAAGTTATCCTCCACCTAACTCAGAAAACTCTTTGATTATGTGCATTTGATGTTTGTTGTTCCAAATAAACATTTACATCACTTGTGGGTTTCCCCATTCCTTGCTTTTACCACACAATCTGATGGGTGTAAACCTGAAGAAGGTTTCGTTTGGGGTTTTTTTGTTTCGTTTTTTGGTCTTCTTGTTTAGGATAACGTAGTGGGTATAACTAGATGAAAGTGAACAACAGAAAATTTGGCTGAACATCAGGAAAGATTCCCTAACAATGATCTCTATTAGACCATGGAAAATTTCCAAAGGAAATGGTGAAAGCTCCATCATGCAAGTCATTTAAAATTAGATGGACAAAGCATTTAAGAATATACTACAGAGAACAATGCTGCCCCTGCTGGGGAATAGCCAAGATGACCCAATTAGGTCTTTGTTATCTCTAATGTCTCCAATTCTCAATCATTTTCCTAATATCAGCCATTCACGAAACAGCATTCAAGCAGGTAAAAGAGAAAAAGTGAAAGAAATTGCTCTGTTTCTTGAAAGTCAGTCAGTCCCATAGGGTGGTGCGTCAAAGCCCCCTGCAGCCCTTCATTGTTGGAGCCTGGGTCTGTGGCTTTGAGTCTGTCACCTTCCAAAGGTGCATCATGCTGCTATCAGAAACAGCTAGTGTCTTACTGACTTCTTTGATGTGTCATGTCAAGAAAGGCTAGCAACTGCCAGGGGGTCCACTCTGCTGAGCCCTGCCAAATCAATTTAAACCAAAATTATTCTAACTTCTTTCACTGCAGTGGTAATCTTAGTCCTCTCTTTTGACCAGAATTTGCCGGAGAAAAATAATCAAGGGCATATGTATCGGTGCTGCACTTTATCAGCACTCAAGCCAGATCTTTCTGAAGACTATGGCTCAATTCCAGTTTAGTTTCCTGGTCAGTGAAGTTTTCACTAAACAGTAGTCTACAAAATCACCACTCTGTTTAATATTTTAATAGGGCATATTCAATCACTTTAGACCAGATCACTACACTATTGTATTGTATTGCCCTGAATACAAGGGATGCTGTAATTGACTCTAGCCACTAGGCTGCGCTGTCCTGAATGCAAAGGCCGCTGTAATTGATTCTGGCCATTGGGCTGCACTGCCCTGACCCCAAGGGCAGCCATATTGTCTCTGACCTCTGGGCCGTGCTGCTTTCAGCCTAAAGACTGTCTGGTAGACTGTAACTGTGGTGGTATCACAACCCCACCATGCCCCAAAGGAGGATGGGGTGTGCATACCATGCGACTCATACATACAGACATTTTCTATTTGTTCTTTTGTAGTGCTTTGTCCTAGAACAGATCTGATCACTGGGCATGCAAAGATAAGGATGCCTCTGTTTTTCTTCTCTTCTTTATTTCTCCTTTAAACACACAGGGAGACTATGCAGGTGCTGACTCGCAACAGCAGAGCACTTTTAAGTAATTACATAGTATGCAAATATCTGCACTACAATTTGCTACAGTCCAAAGAACAAACTTTCCTCACAAGCCCCTAACACCTATAGTTGTTTCAATTTCTTGTTTTAGCCAGTTGACAAAATAAGTAAATCTTTAAATACTTAATCATTAAACTTCACTAGAGGAATAACTTGAAGGTGGTTTCTACTGTATTAACATTGCCATAACTAGAGATGAGGAAATAATTTGCAATAATTTTATCTAAAAATGGACCCTCTACTTCCGTTCGTGGAATATTTGTTAGCAGATCATGATTCCCTCAAATTTATCCAGTATTCAAAAATATCTGACTTCTTCTTTGAATATTTGTAAATGTATATTGATGACAGCTGGCTGTCACTATTTGAGCTCATTAGTCAGTGCTAGACCATGGGTTAGTGAATGCTTGCATGTGCAAATTTAAAAATTCAGTTTCTGAGAATAATCATACATTTAAAATCCCCATTCCATAAACCCCTGGGCCAGTAAAACTCAAATGCTCAAATTTTCACAGGAAGCAAATGGGGCCAAAGTGAACTAATCAAAAAGTTTGAATAAATATTTGTGGAAATTGTTTTGCAGTACATGCCCAGCTCTAGTAACAATACATAGGTATACTAAGTTAATGAATGCCTGAGCTTTTTGGCCTTTGGGTTAATTCAGCCCTGGTTATCTCATACGCATGAAGTAAAATGATCATCTAAATAAATTAAACTGCAATGGATGATCTTCAAGATGGACTTTACAAAACATAAGCTCATTTCATTTATTAAACTGCTTTGGAGAAGTTTGCAGTTCTTTAGTGCCCAGTTGTATATTGAGCTATATGTATATTGCGTTCTGTATTCTAGTCTCTGCATACTCACCCTTTTCCTCTTAGTGCTAATGAGTGCAAAGTGTGCATATGGCATCAAATTCACCACTGGAATTATGGCCACTTATGCCAAAAGTGGGTTTAGATCATGGACAGAAGGAGTGAGCAAGGAGGAAAAAAAAAATCTTTGAGGGGGAAATCCTGGGCACAATTAAATCAGTGGCCAAGCTCCCACTGACTTCCATAGAGCCAGAATTTCATCCTTAGTCATAACAGTCATACATGAAAAGACAAAATCATGCAAGGGAATTGGAAAAATTATTTATGAAAGTCATCCCTCTAGTAGCTAACATCCTACAAACAAAGGTGTAAACAGCACAACACAAAAACACCACCGATTTCAGCTCTCAGATGCTCTTTGCCACCTGATTAGCCCTGATATCTTTGGCTTTAATCTTCCACACCATCAGTGTTTTTAAATCAAGTAAGCCCAAAAGGACACCCTTGAAAGTGCTTCTCTTCAGTCTGAGATATGTTAATAATTAGAGTAATTAAACCAAAGGGAATTTTTGTTTTAAATTTCCCCCTCTCTGAATTGAGTTTCATGAATCTAGTAAAATAATCTTTAAAAAAACCCTTCACTCAAATTATTAAAGTTCACTTTCTCAATAAAAGCCATTTTTATACCAACCTATGCCATCCCATTCAAAAGCAGACATTTTGGAGGTAGTCTCAGTGATTTTGATGGACTTTTTCCTCACAAATCTTCAGACCAGGAGTGCTACTCAAGGCATCTCCAAACCTTACTCTTTGATTCAATGTAATAAATACAGGGGTTTATTTTTATTTTTTTGTGGCGGGTAGGGTAAAGAGGATGCTGACCCGATTTATTCAGGACATCCTTCCCCCATTTCATTTTCTTCTATCTTCACTAGCTGCGGGAAGGGACGTGCTGGCCGCCCTTCCCGCAGCCCCCATTGGCCTGGAGTGGCGAACCGCGGCCATTGGGAGCCGCAATCGGCCGAACCTGCGGACGTGGCAGGTAAACAAACCAGCCTTGGCTCGCCACGGGCTTTCCCTGAACAAGCGGCGGACCGGCTTTGAGAACCACTGCTGTACGTCTTACTTCACTGACCTACAAGGCAAGTAACTCTCATGTCAATACCATACCTCAAGTCAACTGGCAAAAATGCTCACTGAACAACTTATTTCAAAAAATCTTCCATGAGATGTTAGGGACGGGGAAAGAATGGCTCCAGAGTACTGGGCCATAGATGTGGGGTGGAAGGATTAATAAATTCAGAGAGAGTAGTGAAACAAATGCTCTTCTGACGGTTGGTTGGAGCATTTAAATTTGGCCAGCCTAGGAACTGGGTATGTCTACACTGCTATGTAAACCCCAGATTAGTAGAACTTGAGTTGGTTAACCTACCAGATCCTGGGTTTGTTAACCAAGGGCTTCAGCATCTACATTCAACTGTAACCCCAGTTTAGGAACTGTTGAACCCTGGGTCCCAATGTGGGACCCCAGCATCTACATGGCATTATGTGGACCTGAGTCCAACCACCCATATCCCAGACTTCCTAATGGCTTCCCAAAATGTGGCCACTCTAGCCCTTTGTTCAGGTGCAGTGTGGGAAAACTTCATTGTCCACCAAACTTGACTGTTCAGAGGACAAAGAAAGTCGGCACTTGGGATTGTGGAATACTTTTGGTGGACTCTGAGAGTGTGAGTCCAGTGTAGCTGCATCTTCACTACAAAGCAATAGGGCTAGAAACCTGGGTCCCGACTCAGAGGTTCCACCCTCATCGAGTCCTGGGACCCTGGGTCTGAGCCCTGGGTGAGCATGATTTGTGTTTAGATGGAAGGGGTGTTAGTCTTGAGCCTGAGTTCAAACCCTGGGCTTACACTGCAGTACACACATACTCTAAAAGTCCTCCTAACCCTGCTGCTGCCTCCTCAGCCTGAGTGCCTCTTGGGTTTGCACTCACCAAATGACTAGATTGGCACACTACTCTAAATTAGTGCACCAAGTACATTATTTGTGTCATGCTACAGAAAAATCAACCCTACATAGCTAAGTAGCTCTGTCACATCAAAGTGTTTGGTCTCCATGAACATATCTTCTGGAAGTATTTTGTACTGAAACAGACCCCAGAGAATAGTGCTTACTTAATGGAGATCATCAAACATGCTAAAACAGAACAGGGTCTTTCTTGTGAAACCGTGTAACTCTTTAAACAGTACTGTGCATACCCAGAAATGTATATCTAGTATCTAATAAGAATCTAATGCTAAGGTTTTCAATCATTGCCAATCCCTGTCTCTCCCATCCCTGTCTGTGTCATAGCATATTTTTATCTCTGTTCATATTATCATTTGCAGCAAAAAGATTATTTTGTCTCTATGCAAACCCCTGCACCTACGAATTCGTACACCCATGTTCAAACCACCATTGATGCAAAACTATATACTTTAATCTGATCAAGTTGTCCACCATTTGAAATCATGGCAGTGTCATATAATTTGTCTTCCGTAGCGCACTGAGCTGGTACCATTACCTCTCCCTACATACCTGTCCTCTCTCTTGAAATGCCGTTACTTCTTTTGTCAGCTCTAATGTTTCTTCCAATAAAGTCTCCTGAGTGATACAAGGGGTATTCAATTGTTTACAAAGCCATGTTGCCTGGGGAAAGAAGGGGCGGGGGGAGATGGGTGCAAAGAAAATAAAATATGTTTTCAGAAGCCCCACAGAAAGCAAAACAAGTCAGTATTTTCCTAGCCTCCAATTTAGACAAATAATCCGTAATTCTAAGCTTAATAAGTACTCACATTGCAGAACAGATGCTTTGTTAATATGTAATTAAGGTTGTGAATACTTATCAGTAAATTAAGGGGAAATAAAAGAATGCTGAAGTTTTCAAAACCATATATATTGAACAGCCAGGAAAAACTGATTTTAAGGTAAAACTTAAAAAAGCAGACAAATATGAATATGCATTGTTAAGAAACACAAAAACAACCTTAACTCTGTATCCATGCCGCTAACCCTCCATCCAAATTAATGACACAACCTTATGCCTGTATGACATCTTTCCTGGCTTAGAAAGTAATTGAATAGGTTTCTAATACCTTAGATAGACATTGAATAATGAGCCAAATACTCCCATTACACTGTGACCATACTCAGCATAATCTGTGCAATACCCACCCACTCCATGGTCACAGACGGTCCTCCATTCACAACATGGCAACACCAAATACTTACCTTTTACAAGTCATAAGCACAAAGGTTCCAATCCAAGGCCCACTGAAATCAAAGAGTATTTCCACTGACTTCAGCACATTTTGGACAAGGCCTGAATGACTCACTTAACCTCTTCCTCACTTTCCCAATATAGTTTCCTAAACACACTTGAAACTCAACTATGTAAACCATGGTATATCAGTCCAGGGGGGAATTTTGTAAAGGTGTCTGGAGTTACAGATTTCTTAAACTCTATGGATGAACCACCAAATTATAAGACTGAACCTGAGAAGTACTGAGCATCTCCAACTCCCACTGACTACATAGGATTTAAGATGTCTCCCAGACACGAGAGGTCAGGGGCCAACCACGAAGCTATATGTCGGGTTGAATAGGGCAGCTGGCTGTAATATACAACAATACTTGTCGATCAAGTACCTATCTTTCAAGTAGGGTGCACTGGATGGCGGGGATTTCAGGACAGAATATAGATAACGTATGGTACTTTAATTCTCTAATTACATAGTATTGTCTAAAATTTTTAATTTAACTTAATTTCCTAGCTTTTCAATGTTTTCTTTGAAATTCCACAGTTCTTTTAAAGTTTGTTTCCTCCCCTTTTTACATTTTTAATGTGTATTTACAAGTTTAACACCATTTTCACAAAGTTTTTTTGGCTGGGAATTCCATAAAGTCTTATCATCTTGTCAAGGGAAGATACCAGTACCCTGCCACATAATGGAAATATATATTTATGTTACACGGAAAATAAACACCAGTGCAACCTCATCGTTTTCAATGGAGTTGTACCAGCGTAAATGAGAGTAATATTGGCCCTGCTGCTGAACCAGCTAACCATTTTCTCAATGATGCACAAACCAGATCAGAATCCAGCTCCCTATCTCACAACTGCACTGTTTCTGCACTGCCAAAAGGAGAGGAAAAAAAACCAAAAACCAAAAACCAAAAAACGGTAGAAACTTATTTTTGTCCCTGAAATTTGCAAATGTGATTTTAAATACACACAGAGAATGGAAGCTGTTGAGAAAGGTGCTAGTTGTACAAAGACCATTTCTTTGACAAGTCTTAACTGCATCTGAAAAAAGTTTCTAAAAAAGAAAAAGAAAAATGGATATTAATTCTTAAAAGATAAAAAGCCATAATTATTTTTTTTTGGAAAATACACTGTTATACTGTAGTCCTGTAAACTGTAAAACTTTTAAGTCAAAAGCAGTTGTGACAATTAACACATTTTAAATTCTGTGTGGCTCAACTCCCTCCTTCCCCTCCCCTCCCACCCAACAGTACACTAAGAATCACACTTTCAAAAGTGGCCTCTAAGTTTGAGTGCCCAACTTTAGACACTCAGGGTAGAATTTTCAGAAGTGCCCAGGTGATTAAGAAACACTAACTTTAATAGTATTTGTGCTCCTAAGTCACATAGGCACTATGAAAATCGTACCCCTCAAGCCTGATTTTCAGAAGTGCCGAGCACCCAGAACTCCAGCTTAATTGGGAGCTGTGTATGACCAGCACCTCTGAAAATCAAGCCCAAAACATCTAAAGTTGTACACTCAAAACTTAGAAAACACTTCCGAAAATTTGAACCTAAATGTCTCAAATCCATAAATGTAATAGGCTTGCTAGGTTGTTTTGTGTAGACACCGCTCGTTTCTCACATTTTTTCAGTTCCCCTGTTCTGAGGTGCCTGTGCTTCTGTCTAATCTAATCTAGTCAGTCTATCACTGTGGTATCTAGGCACAGGCCAAAACTATGGCACACAAAAGCCCACAAAACAGGAATAAAAGTTATTTTTATTCTATAGTCACAAGACTTTTGACTTCTAAATACATAGTTATTCTAGCATAACTGAAGAACAAGTTCTTATTTGCAAATATATGGCAGTGCAGTTTTATAACACTTAAGGTAATATACTTACAATAGTGGTTTTTCCAGAGGCGGGTGGACCAAGTATACAAATTCTTGGAACTATAGAATAAATATACATGAATGTCAAAATACAGAAAGGCAAGACACCTTTATTGTTTCTCCATATTACATAATATACAACATATGTAATTATATTGTAATACAGTTATTTCACTGGGAGTCCTGCTTGAGTAAGGACTGCAGGATTGGGGGACCAAACTAGTCATGGCTATGTCTTAATTAATTTCCATAGTTAACACGTTTAAGACTCTGATTTGGCCAGGCACTTAGCACATATCTAGCTTTAAGCACAGGTAGCTTATTTGTAACTCACATAAACAGGGCATAAATACTGAATACTTATTTTTCTAACTTTGCTTTTTATTCCCAACATAGAATATCAGAGTTGGAAGGGACCTCAGGAGATCATCTAGTCCAACCCCCTGCTCAAAGCAGGACCAATCCCCAATTTTTTTTGCCCCAGATCCCTAAATGGCCCCCTCAAGGATTGAACTCACAACCCAGGGTTTAGCAGGCCAATGGTTAAATGGTTTTGATCTGATGCATCTTACAGTAAAGTATTTTAATTTTGTATATGCAGTATGATGGCAAATTTCAAAGTGTATAGTTTCTTATTTTACTACTTTGTACTAATAATGCATTTCCTTTTCATTTTTAGAAAATGAAACACGAGTAATATAATTTCAACTCACACCTTTCTCTAGACAGTTTATGTCATGGATCAGGAAGGTTTATACATTGCAAAATGGGCACTTTTCCTTGCTATTGAGGATAGCTACCTCATGGGTAGAAATAGAAAAAAAATGTATACGGAACATTTTTCAGATTACCTGTGGGACACTAAAACTTTTCATAGTCACGGGAGAAAATGGGCTACTCCACATTTCTCCTCTATCCATTTAAATGCCCTCCATTTCTCTAGTCAGCATTAAGTTCCATTTTTTTCTCCCTTTGTGTTTATCTGCTGCATGTCAGTCTCCCTTCCATACGGAGGGGATGCAAGAGGGAAGGAAGGAAAAAGAGTTACTTGCCATGGCAGCAACCTCTTTTCCCTTAGCACACAAATTCCTGTCTCATCTCTTTTAGTATTTATTAGTTCCAGTTTTATTATTCGTATAGTGCCACAGCTGTACAAGGCAACCTAAAGAATAAAAAAACTGAATAAGGCCCCTGTCCCAAGAAATTTACTATCATATAGACAACGCAATGATTATTCTCATTCTACGGTGACGTAGGGAAGGATCAGCAGTGTGAAAAAACAAGGAGAAAGGAAAATATTGCTTGAGAAAGATTTGAGGCTTTTTTGCATGCATGCATTTTGGGCTGTGATCCCTTGAATCGTCATGCTACATTAACACCTTGGGTTTTTCCTCTCCACTTTCCATTGCGGGGAGAGAAGGAATCAGGCTTGAAAACAGTGACTGATAGGTATTTATTGGCAGTAGTATGGGTCAAAGAAGATGAGTTGGGGTATCTATCCAGCCAAAAACCTCCCCAGGTCATGACAACCAAAAGGAATATATACTCTCTGATCTCAGCAGACAGGAAAGAATGGGAAATGTATTTTTATGAGGACCTTCCAAACACGTAGGAGCAGTTGGGCAGGTGCAATTTTTAAACATTCATAGAACCCAAATTACAGCTTAATCTTTACAAAGTTATTTGACTGGGAAGGTTTAAGGAAAACTCCCCCTGTATTGGTTCTTGCAAGCGCAACAGAACTAGTACACAATGTCGAAAAATACTTTAAAAGGATACATCAGCTGTTTTTATCACCTAATTTCTTTCAAATGTAATGTGATTAAATCCTAGTTTCTTAAAATCTAACACCTTGAAACTCAGCCCGGTACTGAGGAATTATTTATAAACAGCGTCATAAAAGAGTGCTCGGGTGCCAACACTAATCAACTTCTTCAAACCACTTCAAAGAAAATCAAAAAACCTTTCCATCCACAGATCCTTTTGAGGTTTAACTAGGAGCATGATTTAAAATTCACAAGAAAACCCTTAGGTATTGAAGCTTTAATACACAACTTTCTTGGACAAACGTTTGATGAAAAACGAAACGTACCATTATATACACCATATCATGCTTTAATATTGCCCAGGGCTACTGTAAATGCTCACTTTGTACTAAATCTGGTTTTCTCTCTGCTTAGTGGCTGGCAGCAGATGAGGCAGTGTAATGCACTGATTTACTCATTTGCACACTTGTAAGAATCTTCTAAGGCATTTTCCCCTAAACATATGACACAAGGGCACAACCAGAGCTTCACTCACTGTATGTAATGTTTAACCCCTCAAATCAGCACACAGTTAATATTAAATGCTTGAGGTCCACACAGGCAACTAAATGAACACTGAGAAATCTGCCCAACACCTTTTTCTTTGGTAATAAACCACATCTCAACGTTGAGTCTTGAGATGTTACAGAATTTACTTTTCCAAGCAGTCTTAACATTTAGCATTCAGTTTTAGATGGAATTGAATTATTCCTGGCACAATGCAAAAGGATGGGTTGGACTCGGTAGGAGTCCCTTCAAGTCCAAATGATTCGGTGATTAATATTAATGCAAAAAAAATAACTTAACATGTAAGGCAACTCCTCTGTCAAACCGGAGAAGCATACAGTACAAGACTAACATTTTTCCAGAATTTTGTAACATTTCATCATGGGCATGGTTATATAGGAAGTACTCACCAAAAAAAATGTTACTTGGATTCTGGAAACCTTTTATTAGCACAAACCCGGATAAAGTGTACAAAACAGACATCTTTGCATTAAAAAGTAGCTTAGTCATCACACTGCTCTCACTTTTTAGAACAATCACATGAAAGAACACTAACACATGGCCTTGAGTACGAGAGCCCAGTCACGTAAGATTTGACCTAAAAGCTTCATCAGGATTGTTGTAAGTTATAATCATTGGGTTTGTTTGTATTTTTTTAAGAGTGCTTTAGATACTGTTGTTAATTAAATAGATTTTCTAACTTCACACCTGGGGTAGCTGCAATACCTTTTTCCCACATCTCTGTTTGAAAATTTCTCTGGGGCTAAACCTGTTTAGCTAGGCAAGCTCATGAAAATTCATCACTTTACTGATGGCTCTGATAAGGGTTTTTTCTTCTAAAGAGTCAGCACCTTCCACCATGATCAAAAAGTAAATATAATCTTTACTACAGATTTCTCTTACATTGTTTTCCATAAAATTTACTTTTAAAACAACATTTAGGCTTTAATTTTAATTGGAGTTCCTTCCACGTCTTAATAGATTCTTTCAAACCACAAACAGATAGCAGTTTTTCATTTGACAAACAATTGCTGTGGTTCATTCTTTAGTCTCTTGTTTTACTGAAGTCATGAATGGCAACCTGCTTGATTCTGTTCAAATAATACTGTGGGGTTAAAGAACAAGCCTTAGCTCAGTGTGATGGAGATTTAACAGCATTCTATAAAATCTCATGAAACTCCTCATCTGTATACTTTCAACGGGGCTGTAAAACAGATCAGATTTCTCATGCTGCCCACATCAGAACAGGCTGGACACAATTTGCAGGATTTGATTTTTGCTATTTAGCCGCATTTCAATTGACAGCCATCTGATCACGAAGGAGAAAGAGCTCTTAGCATCTCTTGTGATAATGATTTCATTGATGCTGTAGCAGAACTTTCATAATGGTTTACTATGGTTTTAAAGAAACATCAAAGCAACGTGATACCAGCTATTCCTGACAGCTCATGCAGAACAAAAATTATAGTTCAGTTGTGCATCTCCAAATATAATCTGCCTAAGGGTGAACAGTTTGTAAATCAAATAATTTGATTGAGTGTACATGCTTTTATTGTGCAGAATACATACTTCCTATTCAATTTATCAGGTTTTGTTATACACATGGGTAGGCATGCTTGCTGTTCCTTCATCTGAGATGCCACTGAGCTGTGGAACTCATTAACAGTAGCAAGTAACTAAGTACTCAAAAAAACAGAGAAGCTGCCAGCCCAGGTAGAATGGGAAACCAATTTTACACCTGACAAAAGGGGTAATTAGCGAGTTTAAAGACAACAGAAAATATCAGATGGGGCACAGAAAGCATTAATAATTGATACACTAGAACTCTTTGTTATTCCCTTAGAGGATTTCATTTTTATAACAGTTAAAGTGCATTTTTATTTGATTATCCACTAGAAAAGAAATTAAAAACATCTTACCAATAACTATTCCAAATTGCTTAAAAAAATTTGAGACACAGGCTGAAAACTTTTATCCACCATTTACCAACTGAAGTAGAGTTTCACAACAATGGTTTATAAATCACGAGTTGAACTACATATGGTCTCTCATTTTCACTTACCATGATCATTGTCTTGCTTTAAGTGGCTTATCATATACTGGATGGGCTCATCAGGTTTATGGATTAACAACCCTTCAAGCATGTTCTGAAAGTAAATAGGACAGACTCAGCAGGAAATTTAACACAGCCGTAGTAATAATAATAAATAAATAACAATAATAACGATGATGATGATGATACTTTGCATTTCTATAGCAATCTTTCATATGAGGACCTCAGAGATTGATATTCATTCATCTTCATAAGTTCCTGTGAGGTAGGGAAATATGAAGCCCATTTTAGAGAGGGACAGACTAAGTACATAGCGGTTCAAAGACGATTTGCAAAGGAAAATAAATGGATGTGTGGACCTTTTATTGTTTATGGTGCAGCAAGAAGGCCTGAAAGATTTGGGGGCTGTTATTTATTTTATTTATAAACTCCCCCCCCCCCTTAGCTGATTTACCCTAAAAGTATCAAGAATTTCACATATGGTCTTCCCTGTTCTTGCTGGAAGGCTTCTTGGAGAACATAGAAATGTGGATTGTCAGCTCTCTCAGACCTTCATTGAAAGGGCAGGATGGTGAATCTTAAAGACATCCTTTATCCCAAACGTTTCTCAGCCAAATCAAGTCAGTGTTAACACAAACAAATTAAAAAATAAGGAATTGTGACTAGTGTAAATAAAAATAACTTTCCCTCTTGATCAGTTTCCCCGTCCTCTTTCGGTCATAATCCTATTAGTTCTCCGGTAGCCTACAGGCTTCAAGGGTAGACAAGACCTGAATTTCTGTTGTAAAAAACCCTGCCTTAAAAAAAATATTGTTTTCAAGTCTTCTTCATACTTCATAAAGAACCAAAAAAAAAAAAGAGCACAAACTTCTTTCCACCATGCCCACGACCTTGCAGGTCACGTTTCCATTTCTATATAGGTTATATATATAGGTTCATATAGGATCTGATCCAATTCCCACTGAAATCAATGGATATCTTTGCACTGACTTTGGAATAATATCCAGGAATCCTAACTTTCAGACACTCTTACTGTAACTACCCAGCACTCCATCACAGCAGATAAGTCCATAACTGGACCTACATGTGAAAAATGTCTCTAATATTACTCCTTAGCTTTTTCAGTGCTGGAATTTTATCATAATAAGGTGGTGCATATTATTTCTGGTAGCAGGCAACAACGCTCTGGAGAAGCGGCAAAGAGTCCTGTGGCACCTTATAGACTAACAGACGTATTGGAGCATAAGCTTTTGTGGGTGAATACCTACTTTGTCGGACGCAACGCTCTGGAGGTTAGCCTTTAGGAATATAGGGCCTAACTCAATAAAACCTCCTTCCATTTTCTGTGATGCCTAAGGACTGGTCTACCCTACAAAGTTAGTTTGACATAAGTTGCCTTGTGTCAACTATTTATTCATGTGTCTACACTCAAATGTGTCTCCCGCTGATGTAAGCACCCCGTTCTTGAGAAGCAGTAACACCACCTCCCCAAATGGCATTGATTCATGGTTGATGAACCATGGTCAACACAATGCAAAGTAGACATTGAGTGACATATGTCAACCTTACCACTCCCCCAGCAGGTGTCGCAGAATGCCTGACAGTGATCACTCTGATCACAATTGTGAACTCCACTGCCCAGGTCATGGAGACCAGAAGCCAATCCCTACCCCCTGATCTCTGCGTATTTTTTAAATGCCATTTCCTGACTGCCAGCTTGGTGAACACACCTAACAGCTCTCCTTTGTTGTGTGCAACTTTCCAACCGATCCTGCTGGCTATATGTTATAGACATGCTCCTGGCCTCCAGTATCCAGGAGGTACTGGATCTCCTGGGCCTCCGGAGAGAAGAGGCTATGCAATCACAGCTAGAAACCACTTGTAGAAACATGGTCATCTACAGAAAGATTGCACAGGGGACGAAAGCAAAAGGGTATGACAAGGATCAGCAGCAGTGACATGAAGAGGTGAAGGAACTGCAGCAGGCATCTCATAAGGCCGGGGAGGCCAACACTCAACCTGGTGCAGAGCTTCAGACCTGCTGCCAGTTTTACAGGGAGCAGCATGCCATACCTGGCGGAGACCCCACCAGCACCCTGCAGAGCACCCTGGGTTCCTCAGTGGAGTCCGAGACCAAGGCTGTGAACAAGGGGGGCGGGGGTCCCATGGTGGGGGGAGTCCAGCTATGAGTGAGCCAAGATCTATTCAAGACTCTACCACAGTCTAACCAGTCCTGCCAGCCAAGCCCAATCCAGGGGAAGAGACCAGGATAAGCACATGCATGTATTCTCCCATAAAAAGTTTAAATGTGAAGATGGTACCCAGCACGAACTCAAGTTAGCAGGACACAGGCATCTGCTTTTCACTGTTTCACTCGTACAAAAAGACACAGAGGTACAACAAACAGAGGTAGAGTTATCTGCTTTTCATTCCCTTGTATTATTGGGTGGGGTGGAATGCTGATTAGTTTATGTATACAGGGATGTCCCTTATACACTTCTGAGGGATATCAATGAAACTTCCATGGAAGTACAAATCCTTTCCCAAAGGATATGAGGAAAGGTTGCTGTATTTCTCCCTCCTCAGTAGGACACTTTCCTACACCACCCTGCAACGACTTCAGCAGGCACCACTGGGGTAAACAAGCTAGCAGGATAAGGGCCTGGGCAGCTTCAGGACACCAACAGTTGCTGTGCTCTCTGTGCCTTTGTTAGCCTCAGAAGTGAGATAACAGCTAAAATCACACTGCCTGTGGAATACAGCACCAGTATGCAGTGCCATTGCCCTGTACTCGTACCCACAGAAATAGGGGCCAGATTTTTTTTGGTTTACTTAACCAGACAACTCACTCTTCACCCTACTCTCTCCTCACCCTCAGCAAGCCAGACTCACTATGGCTCCAGCTAGACAGTGGTGTTGTACAGAGGTGCACCAAAGCTGAGGTGTCTTGATTGAAGCATATCTGATTTAAAACTTTTATGGGAATAGGGGAAAGGAGTTCTGAAATTTATCTTTTGCTTTCCTTTGTGACTGTAAACACGATACATCTGTCTGTTTTATCCATAGCTGCTGCCATTGCAGCCTTGAAGGGTGCCCCATTCACACCCACAGAATGCCTGACCCTGATGAGAAGAAAGAAGCAGACTTGGGAGGACATGTTCAGTGAGATCCTGCAGGCCACTGCTGTCTTGGACCACAAGCAGAGGGTTTGGTGGGTGAATATAGAAGTCAGCCTGGAGAAGGAAAGAGCAGACAGGAGAAAGGCCTAGGAGATCCAGCAGGAAAAGGAGAGGGAGATGCCCCAGGGTATAAAAGGGCATCTCAGGCAGCAAATGCAAATGCTGTAGACTCCTGTTGTCCTACAGGTCCAACAGTCAAGTGCTCGCCTCCCCCTGCAATCAGTGGAGAACTCCATTTCACCTGCTCCCTACGCCCCACATGGCATCATGGGCTATATCCCTATCATTACCACTCCGTGCCAGGGGACAATAACAAAAACCACAGCTTCACACATACTGATCTGTGAGAACCATGGTTGATGTATGTTTGGCAGAAATGAACTGAAATAGCTAGAAAACATTCATGTCCTAATTTTAAAGCTCTGTTCTGTTTATTTATTTTATAAGTCTGCTTTTTAACTGCACATTACTCTTTGCATTGTTTTTGTTACACAATACATTTTTATTTTTTGGAAATTAATTTATCTTACTTCATAACATATACAGCAGAATACCTAGTGCTATCGAAAGCACACATTAAATTATAGTTGAACAGGATCACAGAATTCATAGGTTCAGTGCAAAACACACTGTAATCATTATAAAAGTCCAGTAACCAGTGTGATATTCATAAATGTACTCTACAATTGCAAACACCCCCCAAAACGTCAGGGCCAGGCACAGCATAGTCCAGCACAACATATTAACATTGCTGACTGTTAAAATGCTCTTTCAAGGCCTCCTTCAGCTGCGTAGCTCCCTATTGAGCTCTTTTATAGACCTGGTGTCTGGCAGTTCAAAGTCAGCGGACAGATGCTCCACCTCTGCCTTCCCCCTTTGCCTCACAGATATTATGCAGGACAAACAGGCAGCTATAACATTGGGATATTTTTCTCACTGAGAGCTAATTTAGTGAGTAAACATCACCAGTGTCCCTTCAATCCACCAAAAACACATTCAATTGTCATTCTGCACCTGCTGAGCTGGTAGTTGAATCTTTCCTTGGAAGTGTCAAGCTGGCTAGTGTAAGGCTCCATGAACCAGGTTCCTCGGGATCACTATTGGCATTTCATCACCACAAATGGTAATAATCTGCCAATCAAGAAAGAATGTTCCTGCTTGCAGCTTTCTGAACAGTCCTGTGTTCTTAAAGATACAAGTGTCATGCACCTTCCCTGACCAGCCCCTACTGATATCAGTGAAGTGACCCCAGTGACTCACAATGCTTGGATAACCATAGAAAAGTAGCCCTTTTACTGATGTACTGTGTTGCAAGGTGAGATGGGGTCAAAATATGGATATGCAAGCCATCTATCACCCCACTGCAGTTTGGGAATCCCATAGCTGCAAATCCATCCACGATGTTGTGCATATTGCTGAGAATCTCAGTCCTGCTTAGCCAATTAACCAACTCAAAAATGATTTCCCACTAAGCGGTAGCAATCCAGTGTTGCAAGCATGCACATTGCAATCACCACTTGCTTCTCAACTATCAATGCAGCTCTCATTCTGGTGTCCAGGCTCTGGAGGGCTGGTGTGAGCTCGGCAGACAGATCCAGGAATGTGGCATTTTGCATCTGAAAGTTCTGCAGCCACTGCTCGTCATCCCCAACAGGCATTGCGATGCAATCCCACCATTCAGTGCTCATTTCTCTGACCCAGAAGCAGTGATCCACCTCTTGCAGCTGCTCTGTGAACACCATCAACCTTTAATTGGTTTTGCTATGCCCCTCAGCAGTCCCTCCTCAAAGAAATCATCCTGTCCCCCACTGCTGCGGTACTTTGTGCGGCTCCTCAATTACCTGAGGATCGTATGTCCTGTGTTTGCAATGTTCATGACAACAGTGCAGAGCTGTGCAGGCTCCACGCTTCTGTCAGAGATAGCAGGCAGCAACAATTGCCATGCAAGTTTGTGGGATTTTAACAAAAGGTCTGAAAATTATGCCATAGGGATGGTATTATGGGATGGAGAAAGTTGCATGATGGGAACTTATCACAGACTCATAGGACTGGAAGGGACCTCAAGTGGTCAACTAGTCCAGTGTCCTGCACTCATGGCAGGATTAAAAATTATCTAGACCATCCCTGACAGGTGTTCATCTAACCTGCTGTTAAAAATCTCCAATGTTGGAGATTCCACAACCTCCTTAGGCAATTTATTCCAATGCTTAACCACCCTGACAGTTAGAAGTTTTTCCTAATGTCCAACCTAAACCTCCCTTGAACCAATGGACTTAAATTGCAGCTTGTCCTATCCTTAGAGGTTAAGAAGAACAATTCCTCTCTCTCCTCTTTGTAACAATCTTTTATGTACTTTAAAACTGTTATGTCCCCTTTCAGTCTTCTCTTTTCCAGACTAAACAAACCCATTTTTTTCAATCTTCCCTCATAGGTCATGTTTTCTAGACCTTTCATCATTTTTGTTGCTCTTCTCTGGACTTTCTCCAATTTGTCCACATCTTTCCTGAAATGTGGCGTCCAGAATGGACACAATACTTCAGTTGAGGCCTAATCAGCACGGAGTAGAGCAGAAGAATTATTTCTCGTGTCTTGCTTACAACACTCCTGCTAATACATCCTAGAGTTATGTTCACTTTTTTTGCAACAGCATTACACTGTTGACTTATATTTAGCTTGTGGTCCACTATGACCCCCAGATCCCTTTGTGCAGTACTCCTTCCTAGGCAGTCATTTCCCATTTTGTATGTGTGCAACTGATTGTTCCTTCCTAAATGGAGTACTTTGCATTTGTCCTTATTGAATTTTATCCTATTTACTTCAGACTATTTCTCCAGTTTGTCCAGATCATTTTGAATTATAATCCTATTCTCCAAAGCACTTGCAACCCCTCCAAGCTTGGTATCGTCCACCAATTAATCCTTATCTCCCAGAGTACCGTGTGCAACTCATTTCTAACCTAATAAAGCCTCACATCCAAAACCTTCCTAACTAAAGGTAGGAAACATAATGAGCCACAGTTACACTCATATCCAAAACCCCATTTATCCAAATAAATTCCACATCTCCTGTTCCATTTCGATAAACTGAGTGTGTGAGGGGCAAGGAATCTACAGCATATCTGCCTGACTATTTATGCTGTTTACCTTTTGTATTTTATCCAATTTATGCAGTTTACCTTCTGTATTTTATGCTGTTTGGACAATGAAAATAAACTAACCAGTTTCACTTGCAAGTGCTCATGCTGTAACATCTGGGTAACAAACACCACAGGAAAATATTTAAATCTCAGGAAAGAAAATTGTTTTCATTGGTATTACAGTGTAAATACATGAAAAAATATACTATGTTAAAAAATGATTTTAAAAAACCCCCAAAACCAAATTTGGCACCTAAGTTTACCTGACAGTGATTCTTTAAAGATTATAAATAACAAACCCAGAAAACTTGTGAAGTTATGATGACACATGGTTCTTTGAGCTGTTGAACACTGTTACTTCTATGATTCTAAGCTCCAGTGCTCCAATCACTTATGCACAAACTTAATTTTACTCATGTGTTTAAGGTTAGGTAAATGCATAAATGTTGAAGAGTTGGGGCTATTATTTACAGGTGTGTGTTTGTGCCCTCAGATGGCTAACAAAGCTGTGATCTGAGCAGATCCAGATTCACTCTTAGCAGTCCAAGAAGGATTTTCTGTGATGTGCGGTCATGCTGGTGTTTTTCACCTCTCTTTGGCATGCAGAATGAAGTTTTATGTTAAAGAACAAATTTTATACAGCATTGCTCATACTAAGTGGATCTCAAAATTCTCACAGAATAACATGATTAAGTTACAGAGCTAACAAATAATAGTAGAGACAGAGAAAAAAAGGCATATGCAAAGGAGAAAAAGTATGTTTTGGGGTGAGATTTGAGAAGAGACCATCTTCCTAATGCATAAAATAAGGATGTGAACAATGTTAACACTGGTATGTGTTATGGACACTTTTTATAACAAACTATAACAATGTTCATCACAATATTAGAACTCTTATCCCTCAACAAACTTTTCAATGCTCACTATAAGTAAATTAGACCTAAGGAACAGACTGTAGAAACTCACAACCTCCTTTTCGGCTAAGAAGTCAATCTCATTCTTTACTAAAATAACAAGGCTTCTTTGTAACTCTGTTTTTATTGGTTTCATATTAGTTGTACATATTCATAAAAAGGCACAAGAGCATAATTTTTTGATGAAACAGCACAAAATAGACAATGCCCCCCCCCAAAAAAAACCCAACATATATTAAGATTATGCATTAATTCACTAACCTAGTCTCAAAAAGGGCAGGTACCTTCACATAATTTTTAAATACAGGTTTCCCTACTACTATTCTATTCTACCATACTACTTTCCATCACAATCCACAAAGTATCATACTTATCAGGCCTGCTTTGCATTTGATCGACTCAACACCTTTCTTCCACAGACAGTCAACATTTTTACAGAATTATAGATTGCAATTAAACCTTGTTGATAGCCAGTGCATTATGTTTTTCTAGCATATAGCTTGTCCAATTTCCTTGAGACAGGGACAGTGTCATCTAAGTTTTCCAGAGTGGCAAACTACTCAAGATAGTGCTTGAAAAGTAAAGAATCATAGTGCTTAAATAAATAACGATACACCTCAATACATGGGGGATACAAAGAGATTCATATTTCCTTATGATTAATTTGACAACACCCCAGGCTGCAGACATAAACAGTGCTCCGTCTTGAAAGATAATGAGGAGTCCGGTGATACCTTAAAGACTAACAGATTTATTTGGACATAAGCTTTTGTGGGTAAAAAAACCCACTTCTTCAGATGCACGGAGTGAAAATTACAGATACAGGCATAAATATATCTTGAAAGATGTGGTCAGATACCTTGTGTTGTAAGTGATGCCTGCACCAAAAGTGCCCAACTGCATATCAGAGGTGCCCTGATGTACCCGAGGAATCATTGCTTCTTTTTTGCCAGATGCACCCCAGCAAGTGCTAGCATCACTCTTCATGGAGCTGAACCCCTCCACCCCCACAGCTCTCACCTGCCTGCTGGGAATGGTCATTACACTTTCTCCCACCCTCAGCGTACCCCCACTGTATGCTGGGAATGGTTTATACACCTCCTCTGAGCACTCTACTACATGCTGGGAACAGTCATTATGCCCCATGTCCTCAAATATACTGTGGCATGTTGGTACTCAGGAACAGTCTGCATCAGGTAACCCCAGGCCTGGAGTAGGGTTACCCAGTGCCTGCTAGGAATTGTCAATATGTCCAATATACCAGCATACGGTGGCAGCAACTGTTAAACCCCCACACATGGGGCAGGACCCACTGCATGCTAGGTGCAGCCCAACCAGTGCCGGGAATTATAAGCACCACCCACCTGCGCTGGGCACCCCAATGCATGCTGGGAGCAGTCCTCCTTATAGGGGGCTCCCCTCCAACCAATGCTGGTGCATGCTGGGAACTATAGTTGTTACCACCCTCCCTTCACCTCTGGCTTGGGCCCCCCAAGGCACGCTGGGAACTTTGGTTGCTGATAACCACCACCATACCCACCTCCAAGCCCTTGGGTGCCCCAGCGCATACTGGGAGGTGTCCCCCCTCCGGGGCGGGGGGGAACACTGTTATTCCATCAGTATAACCTGCGGGCGAAGGGACTTGCGGCCTCCCCGCCCCTGCCCTCACCTGCAGGAGCTGGAAGAGCTCGTGCTTTTCCGCATAAATGCCCATCTCCCGGGGCACACGGAGCGGCCTGGAGGTAGCGTCCATCGCACCCTTAGCAACCGCTCGTCGCTAAGGAGGTTACGTTCTCACCACGCGACGCAGGAGGCCTCGCCCGCCCCTGAATCGGCACGAGCCTTCCCCAGGCTCGGAATGGGGCGTGTGACCTCATCAAACAGCGACAGGCTCCTTTAAAGGGGCGGCAACTGCTCCCGGCGTGTCCGTGCCCCGGCGAGTCAATGACCCCCCCCCCCCCTTCTGCCTCTCACCCAAGGGCGTGGGCACGAGCCCTTCGCTGTCTGGACGTGGCGGGGGAGAGAAAAGCTGAATCAGATCCTCGCGCCTTCCAAATCTCCACCCCAGGACCCGTTCCCCACAGCCCCTACCCCCCACACAAGCCCGTGCCAGTGCCCCCGGCCCTCCCCCACACAGCCCCTGCCTCCCTTACAACTCTCCATCAGTGCCCCTGCCCCCTCACATACGGTCTCCTGCCAGTGCCTCCTGGGCCCCCGTCCCCCACAACCCCTATCTGTACCCCTCCCCCACAGCCCCCTGCCAGTGCCCCCGGCCCTCCGCCCACACAGCCCCTGCCTCCCCTACAACTCCCCATCAGTGCCCCTGCCCCCTCACATACGGTCTCCTGCCAGTGCCTCCTGGGCCCCCGTCCCCCACAACCCCTATCTGTACCCCTCCCCCACAGCCCCCTGCCAGTGCCCCCGGCCCTCGCCCACACAGCCCCTGCCTCCCCTACAACTCCCCATCAGTGCCCCTGCCCCCTCACATACGGTCTCCTGCCAGTGCCCCTGCCAATGCTCCCCGCCAACAATGCCCCTCACAGCCCCCCTGCCAATGCTGCCCAGCTCAATGCCCACTCCCCCTACTCGACCCAAACTGACTTTCCCCCGCCCCCTGGTCTGTGTTGCCCTATGGCAGGGGGAGACGTGGATACCCTACGTCACCGTTACCTCGGGAGACGGTTGTAACAATTGCCCTGCTGGGAGCTCGCAGCTGGGGCTGGCGCCCGCAGGGCTCCGGGAAGCAGGCGGTGTCGGGGGCAGGAGGTCCGGGACATGCAGGAGTGGGACAGCAGCCACAGGTGAGTGTAGCTCGGTGTCCGGACTGGCCAGAGGGACTCACCAGTCTGCCGGGCTGGGATAAGGGGTGCCCCTCAGCCAATGCAAATGCCCTCTCCGCACCCGCGAGCCCCTCAGCCCTTGGATGCATGGGGTGATCAATGCACCTGCAGCGGGCCCCAAAGGCTGAAGCTGCATATTCAAAATTCTGACCATGCCTCTGGTCAAGGCCACAGCCCCGTTCTCCGCCAGCCTCTCCATATCCCACTTACCGGCCAGGCTCCTGAGCCAACCCGCCTCTGTCCTATCAGCGACCCAAACAGCGCAGCCTAGAGGGGCTGCTGTCGAAACTAACCAGCAGCTAAGTGAAACTGACCTCCTGCCTTGACAGCTATAGAAAATAAATCCTCCAACAGGAAGAAGGGAACTTGATTTTAAATACCGTTTTTAATAAGGTAAGGTGTCATTAGTAAGACAGGTAAGGAAAGAGGATGGTTGACAACATGCAAAAGTTAACAATGACAAGAGATAAAGAGTAGGCTTATATTCTGTAACTGAATTGATCATGAGCTTCTCTGAGCTGTAGGGTCCTGGTCAGTCGGTGAAAGTTTTTACTAAAGGCCCTAGTTAGCCTCAAGAACGCTTTACAAGATAAGGCACTTCTGGCATAATTCAGTTGCTGGAGAAGTTTGCTTATGCTGCGTTACTGGCAGCCACGCTAATCGAAACCAATTCCTTGTGTGCCGTTTAGTAAACAACTTTTTTTCTTGTCTAAGGCCTTTCTGCTAAAGACTTCAAAGCACTTTACACAGCAGCAGGGAGTGTTCAGAGGAGCCTAAGGGAGTTAGGTTCCCAGATCCCATTGAATTTCACTGTGAGGACACTTAATTCCTAGGAAAATCCCATCCATCCTCCTGTCTCTATTTACTACTGGATGAAAATGAGATTGAGAGTTTTAGTCTGTCTGTTCTTAGTGTAGTCTCACTTTTGTGACAGTCAAACTGTATTGATGTCACAGAGAGGCAGGACTGTAGAGATGACGAACAAGCAACAGGAACAAGTGAATGCCACGACTGATTCTGGGAAGTGCTAGGTGCCCTATATGCCCCATTGAAACCTTAAAGGCAATTTGAGGACCTATTGTATCTTCCAAGCTGCTAGAGTTTCCACTTGAATGAAAACTTGCTCATAAAATTAATATTGTAACAGGAGAGTTACAGAGGGTGATTTTAAAGGCAAGGTATCTCAAAAGTTTTTCAAACTTGCCCATGAAGTGTAAGACTTTAAGCAATTCGCATGGTAAGGAATGGGAGCTACTTTAGACAAGAATATACAATTTTAGTTAAACCTATTTACTATCTTATAAAAACATCCATTAATAGATCTTGTAATGAATTATTTTGCTAGTAAAACCCTAATAGTAAGGAGTACAAGCTATATTTGTAAAAACTCAATAGTCAGACCTGTTACTTGCTCTGTTTCTGAAATCCATTGTAGACCTATACTTTTTTTTGGCCCCTTCGGACATTTTTTTCCTAACAGAGTTGTAGCCTATTTATGACACCTGCAAATAAACTCATTTGACCTGTGCTTTGATTTTTAGAGGAGCTATGTAATCCAACTCCCACTGAATTCAAATGGGAGCTGCTGGTGGTCAGTACCTTTGGGAAGAATCAAGATATATTACCCATTTTTTTAATGGAAAGTCAGATGCATTTTGTATTTAATTTAGATTTGTTATATTTCTGATCTAATCTCTACCCTTTTACAAACAATTTTTATTGCAGAAATGTAAACATGTTTGCTGTGTCAAACTATTAGGATTGAGGGAAAAAATACATTTTCTCCACTGGAGACTTTTACATTGTGGATTTCAATGCCAAATTGCTACTTAGTTATTAAACATGCAGAAAGTGTAAATAGCTTCTTTGTGATCAGTTTTGATCTTGGTAGAGGGACAAACCTAAGCCCACCCAAGTGAGTTTCCCATCCTCACCCATCCCAGAGTATATGTAGATTTTACCTCACTCCAACATGAGGGCTTCTGAGGGCCAGCTATAGTTTTTATGTGGGGATGCGTGGGGCCTCAGGCATACATCCATAAACTCCACCACATATTTGGGAGTGGGATGGTTTGGCAGCTGGGTAAAACAGATTATGGGGATACAGGAAGATTTCAAACTAGTATTGGGGGAAGATAGGGACATGAGGGTGCTTGTTGCTATGGGGCATCATCAGAAGTGTAGAGATGGGGGATTTTAGCAATTGGGAGGTGGCCCATGTTCAGTCCGTAAGAGAGGAAATCCTCATGATCTGCTGATGGAGAAGGCACCCCAAAAGTAACTATACACTTGACAAATCCAGCCATGAAATTTGGAACCATGGACAGTTTTGCCTTTCATTCTGGGTCACCTTCTGGCTCTGCACTGTATCCTCGGAGTATTAATACCACTCCCAGCTGAGTGGTGTGTGCATTTATGGGCACTCTAAGAATCCTTCTTTTGACCCCAGAACTTGAGAGCCAGATTTACCCAAGGACATGCAAATGGTGGTGGTGCCCACAGTGCCCCTTCAGCATCTAGATTGCTGGGGCTAGGAGCAATAGTAATGATTTGTTGTTGGTTTTTAAACTGGAGGAAGATCAAAAGGGAAAGAACAATAGCAGCATCTCTGGAGTAGGAGCAAGGCAAGTTAAGGTACAACTATGGGGATGCAGGGAGTACAGAAACTGGTAGCCCTAGGCAGTGCTCACACCGCCTCTACATTCATACAAGACCAGCACTGGAAATCAGCACCCCTTGCCAGGCCCCCATCTTGCTGTGAAAGAGCCAGAGGTTAACCTCAAGTCCAGGTCTCCCTTGTTCCATCGCACTTTACTGCACACTGCCTCTCAAGCTGGCCTTCATTTAATGTTAGAAGACAGTTTTCAAGCCGCTTGGGCAATAGTTTTACACTGGATAAGAGAAGATATTTCTCCCTTTGGTCCTCTCACAGCATTGTGTTAGATGCATTGCTACATTATGTTTACAATAGATCCACTAGGGTTTATGGCATCTGATTGTCAGTGGTCCCTTCTGGGTTCTCTGCCTCTGTTTGCAGCATCATTACTACCTCATTGACTTACTGTTTGGCGCTCTGGGGCTGCAGAGCCTTAACACAATATATTTTCCCATCTTCTTGATTTTTTTCATTTTTGGGGGGCAATTCAACCCATCTGACTAGAGCTGTAGGTGAAAATAAAGTTGCATATGTAAAATTGTATCACGTTAAAAAAATAACTTCCTCCCTCTCCTTTTTCAAAATCCAGGAGGGCGGGAAAATGAACGAGGTAAAAGAGTGTCTGAGAAACATAGAACAGACTTACAAGGTCTTCCAGCAACAGCAGTTCACATTTATTGCAGCACTGGACCACACCAGAGAGGAAGCACATGACAAGATCAGGCCTGTAGCAAGTATTGGACAGGTAACAAAGAAATCAGCACAAAGATCTCTGCTAGTAGTGATGGGGATAGCATAATGCTGTTATGCGCTTGTGTATATTTCAGTGGCAAATAACTATTTGCTAGGGGAAACTATATACAAACCCCTCTAGTAAGATCTGTTTATTAACTCATTATTATATGCTACAATAGATCAAATAGATACAAAAGTATCTACATGATGATCTACCCATTTATACAAATGCTATACTGCTCAGTACCACTTTAGACAATTTAGCCTAACCACCCCATTTCCCCACCTCACTCCTAACCACAAATATACAGTACAAGACGAACAAACCCATCCTCCCCTGCCACACTTGTTGTAGTAAGCAGCTTACTTGCCTCTTCCCCCGGTATTGGAGCTACTGTATCTTTCTATAGTGTTTTTTTTAAATAATGGCTGTGTTAGAGAGGTGGGATGATGGAATGAGGGCTGAATGTCTCTAGAGAGTAGGGGGTTCTGAGTTGGTATGTGATTTGTCTGGAACTTTCAAAAATATTGAATATTTTAAATAATGTGAAGAACTCAGAGCCTGGAAGAGAGACTGGGAAAAAAATCTCAATAAAATTACAATTGTGCTGAGAGCAATATTACGTCACCAGGATCAATCCCTTTGCATGTGGAGACAGCATGTGTCATCAAAATCAGGGTTCATTACGATTTAATTTTTCTACTGTAATAACGCCAGGGCTTTGTTCACTATTCAGAAGAGTATCTGGATAGATTGTGTTATGAAATAATGTCAGTTTCTACCAGGAATTAG